AACAAAAAAGAAAGCAAAATTTCAGGAGAAAATTTAGTCACCAAGAAGGCAAGAACAAATGACGGGACAGGTAAAAACACAAACTCTCTTTCTCTCCTTCTCGTGTATTTTACCTTATGCATAGGTCTCTGAGCTACAAGTCTCTGAGCTACAAAGGGTAAGGTAAATATAACTTGTAATTTGGGTTTCTCACACTCGAGCTCAATATTAAGATCAACCTAAAGCACAAAAACTGCGCTTAAACAAAACAAAAAAATCATAAACAAATCACACAAGAAACAAGCAAACAAAAACATCACACACGATACATCTTTCAAAACACACTCAAATACAACAAAACAAACGAGCATGAAAAAAAAATACACAACAAACTAAATAAATCATAACGACGAGTAAATACATTCTTTTTGACTTTACAAAGGAGCTTGGAATTTTTAAGGTCCTATACTAAAGAAAGTGGAGAAATGGGCATGGGTCATGTTCCCACATTCTCGGTCGCTGAATCCAGCGACATCCAAACGTACAATATATGATGTCGCTATATGATGTCGCTGGTCGCTGGTTGCTGGTCGCTGTCGCTGGATTAGCGACAGGCAAACGAACATGGTCTCTATCGCCAACGAAAACTTGGGGTTTTCTAATTAATAGGCCCAAGAAAGACAACGCTAATTTTCGACTTACGTGACATAAAACAAAGGTGATGAAGAGAGGACACGAAGAGACGAGACCTCACCATCGTCGACACGACGAGTTCTTCGCGGTGGAGATATCAAAATACCTCTCGATCTTACGGTGGAGATACTAAAAAAACTTCTCATGAAATCTCTTTTGAGGTTCCCATGCTCAGAGCCGGCTCTGATTAGTAATGCGCCACAAGCCAAAAAAAAATTTTGGGCTGATAAATAACTTACTTTTAGGAAAAAAATAAAATAAACGGAAAAAATGTAACAAAATAGGATCGAACCATGTACCTCACGCTACCGCACTAATGACCCATGTACCTTAATTGGGTCATGGAGACACAAGGATGGTCCAAGGATCTTTTTTTATGAGATGGAGGGTTCAATAAAATGGCGCATCTTGGATGCTACTCATGATGGTGAGATCGTTTTGGTCAGGTGGGGGTACCTCTCCTATGACAGGTTATGTGTTTTATATTATGATCCGAAGCGAAACAGTAAGAGATATGTTGACTTCGAAGGCATTTTTACAAAAGAAAAAAGATGTAGCAATAATATTTCAATCAGGATTGTTCCGGATTATGTTGAGAACACAATGCGTTTGTATTAGATGAGAATTATTCAATAGAGCTTGGGGTTCTTCATATATAAACGCTATTATTCTAAATAAGTTGGTGGGTTTTTTTCTTTTTTGGTTAAGATTAAATTTTGTCCAAAAAATAGTATGTGCTTCTTTAATTTTAATGATAATTCGGGTGATCCGGTTCAACGGACACTATGAACTCTGAACCATATCGTAGAAACTTTTTTCCTAACTGGTTCTCGGGTCAACGGACCATGAGATCTGACTAATCCCGAGATCAGGGAGAACCATGTGAAAACCTCCTGGCCCCGAGATTAGTCAAACATGAGGTAACTTATTACAATCTTCCCTTGTCTCACTACTACTAGACCACTCCCGTATGAGCTATGCGTCTTTTTTGGTTTTACGTTAGTTTAGAACATCTACGTTGGATACTACTAGACCACTCCCACCAAATATTATTAGCAGCATAGAAATGTTGTCACGAAGTTTTACTAAAAATATCTAGACTTGCATGTGTACAAACTTAGCGTACGAGTGAAACAACCTATAGTTTATTGTATGTCGTACATGTTCCATTTCAAGTTGTCCTTTCAAGATACGGACTCTTAGTAATAAGAAAGTCGGTTACATTCCAATACCATGAATCAAAACTGTGTACTTGCCAGTAGTTTAAGAGAACATGCCAAAAACATTTTATTTTATTTAAATTGCAGAGTAGATAATACTTAAAAGACCGGCCAAATCAATTTTTAAATTTTGTAAAGATCAAAAGTTTAAATTTGATATCTATACGGTTTGAAACGGTAAGTTTTAGAGCTAGATCGATATATTTTGACATGAAATTGGTTTACCAAAGTTTCAGGTTGTTTTGAAAGACGACAAATATCTCAATCTATGTACTTGTCCTATAAACAAAATTCCATACTAAAATATGACAAAATTTGTAGTAAGTCGATAGTGAAGATGAGAATAAAGTAAAAGGAGCTTCGAGTAGCTTCGGAAAATCCAAAACAGAAACAAAGAAAAGTGTGATGCAAAGGCGGCAAGTCATTGGAATTAATTAGGCTTGTGATCTCTCTTGCCCCTTGGTTTCCATTTAGGGCTTGGACGGTGGGTTTGCAGCTTAGAAAGCTCCCATACGACCACGTGGATTACATGTTTTTAAGATAAGTTTCTCAATTTAATGATTTTTATATGGAAATTACAAAAATGTTTTGCATTAAAAATGAGAATTCCTGAAACATCAAATATTTTCAAACATCAATTATAAAGTAGATGACATCACTCGATTTTTCCATATTTACCTTGTAAATAAATCCTCTATTCTATTTGACATAGGGCATGATTGGTTAGAGTTTTAGATATTGTAGAAAGCCAACTTTTCATTCTAAAACCAAATAGCAAACCAATTATTCTTTTACTTCAAAAAAAAAAAGCTACAGCACATAAAATAATAAAAAAATATATATATATGGACTTTGGAAATCAAATTTTTTACAGTACCCAAAAATGAGCTGTAAGATATTTTCTCTTTCTTCTCTCTTATTCTTTCCTTCTTTTGCTTTTTTGCTTTTTTTGGGTTATAATGCATTCGTAATATTTATTTATTTCTAAAATATTTAAGTTTACATAATAAATACGTAAAGCTACAACATACTACTAACATTTACCAATCATACTTTTATTTTAAAATTCACAGCTACAATTATATAGGTACAGCAAAAAAATTCACAGTCTAAAATCTACAGCAAAAAATCTAAAGCCACAGCCGTAACCAATCAGGTCCATACTAATCCGGGATAAATATATTTTATAAAACCAATTATTTTCTCATTGATCCAACTTCATTAATTGTCTTCGAAAAATAGCTCTAACATGATTGACTACGTTATAAAATATATTTTGTTTTATATTTCCACACCACAAAACCTATTTCTTTGTTGTTTTCTGATTTTTCATTATCTTCGATCAACTTGTGGTCAAATTTACCGATTTGAGTGTTACATAATCTTCAAAAAACAATCCACCCGGTGAATATCTAGGCTTCTACACATTCCTTTCTTTTTTTTGCAGAAGATTTGGACCTACACAAATATATTTTCACAACAATTTGGTACTATTAATAATAGTTCTTACAGATATAGACCATCTAACAAACAAACACTAATTAACTCGTCCGCATAACTACGTATGTGGCTACCATTTTTATTGGGCTTTCCAAACCCAATCCAACTCTCCATAGTATGATATTGTCCGCTTTGAGCCTACATGCTCAAATCCGCATAGATTTGTTATTGGGCTCCTTCTCAAAAGGCCTCATACTAGTTGGAGTTGGTCTTAGTTTATATATTAGAAACTTCTTTTCTAAACTTCCGATGTGGGACATTGGTTTCTACCCAACAATCTCTCTTTCAAACCACGGACCACGAACATTGGACATACTCTTCAGCGAAACCTTGACACCCTAACTCGGCACCTTCTTATTCGTTAAATTTTTAAGACACTTTCTTATCATGTCATATTTGAGATTTCTCCCACACCGATCTAAACTTCCGATGTGAAACGTTGGTCTGTACCCAACAATTTTTCTAATTTCTCGAATTTTTTTGACTTTGATCATCACAAAACTTCTGGTTAGCAACCTCTCTTCGTAGTGGATCTCTCAGTATTTCTAAGAATCTTGTTCTTTCCTTGACGCATATTCATGTATTTACAGCAATCAAACTTCAAAGACTCCAAAAATCACATGAAAAATTGAATAAAATAATTTAACTTCACCCACTTTAAAATCTATATTTTAAAGATGATTACTAATTTCTTAAATTGAATGATCACTATATGATTCTTTTTAATTATCTTGTACAGTTGTTGTTTAAATTAAAAACAAATCAAATCTGTTAGCATAAAAAATAAATATTTCGCCGTTTTTCTTCCTTTGTAGGAAACCAAATAAAGAATAAAAGGCATATGGCACTGATGGACTAAAACTGGCATAACAATGCTACGTGTTTAATTGGTACAAGTCGCTCAACCTGAGGAATCGAGAAGTTGTAGATGATCACTATGTGACATGTGTTGCACCGAAAAAGAGTGACTAGTGACGATTGACGATTCGTCAACCTTTTTCTCCGACGATATCTCCAACTTTTTGGTTTATCCCACGATTTGGTTTAAGTACGTATACTTTTTAGGTTTAATAGAAAATACCACTCGAGATTTAGTAAATGTTATTCCAGATTTAATATAGTAGAAATTGTTTTCAAAAATGGGTTTCAAAAATTACTTCCTTTTAAATTTTATTATATATAAATCTTTTAAATTTTGTTACCTGCATAGTCATTATTTTATATTGAAAGAAAAAGGAAACAAGATGCAATATTCCGTATAGGAGTTTTTCATTTTTTATATTTGATAAATTAGTTCAGAACCAGCCTGATCCTTGTAGTTCACATGGTTTGAGAGATCAGCTCCGGCTCATGGGTTCAAAGTCAAGCAAAGAGAAGAAGAAAGTAGTTAAGATGGGTTTAAGAGCCTAAAGAGTATCGTCATAAACTCAAAACAAGATGGGTTTAACAGAAGGCGTCTCCACGTGGACAACAACTTAACACCTGAGCCTAACACGCGAATACATCGAAACCCCGACACGTGTTCTGTCTTCCTCGTAAGCTATGTTCAAAGTGGAGTTCTCTCTTTCTCTCGTCCCCATGTATATAAAGCGGTACTCTCTTAATCCACCAAGAAGAATTTTGAAAAGATGACTGAAATTTACAGAACAATTTCCACCGGACGAGGAGACGACGTTTCGCCGACTAAATGCCGTGAGCGTCGTCGTCGGAGAATCCAGATGCGGAGACAAGCGGCGGTTTTCGGCGATCCTAGTTCGTCTAGGAATCGTGATCGGACGGACATGGAAGTTTACTCACGTTTTGACGTTCCATTGAGGAAACAAGCTCGGAGATCAGAGATCGGTGGTCTTCCCGCGGATATCGGAGGTTTCATAGCACCTCCGACATCTTCTTGCCAGATATCGGAAGCGCCGGTGTGGAAGGGAGAGCAAACGGAGGTTGAGCCGTTGTACGGAATAGTTTCGGTTATGGGAAGATCTCGTAATATGGAGGATTCGGTTACTGTTAAACCAAATTTGTGTAAACCGGAGGTTAATCGGAAAAGACCGGTTCATTTCTTCGGTGTATACGATGGCCACGGCGGTTCTCAGGTAAGATAAAGGGAAAAGAATTTATCAGGGGTGTTTTGGTATATGAAGAGGCTGATGTGATGTGTGGACAGGTGTCAACATTGTGCAGCACGACGATGCACACGTTAGTCAAGGAGGAACTAGAGCAAAAGCTCGAAGAGGAAGGAGGAGGAAGCGAAAACGACGTCGTGGAGAAGAAATGGCGGGGAGTGATGAACCGGAGTTTCAAGAGGATGGATGAGATGGCAACGAGCACATGTGTGTGTGGGACTAGTGTGCCGTTGTGTAACTGCGATCCGAGGGAGGCTGCGATTTCGGGTTCAACGGCAGTTGTGGCGGTTTTGACGCAAGATCATATAGTAGTAGCCAACACTGGTGACTCACGTGCCGTGTTGTGTCGAAGCGGAATGGCTATTCCTCTTAGTAATGATCACAAGGTGGTTTTCTTGATTTGTAGAGTAGTACTAATACTACTCTGCTTTTAGCTTATATTAGAGGTTTGAGATATCGGAGTCTTGTTTTGAAGTTGTTGAGTTTTATGTAGCCGGATAGACCAGATGAGCGTGCGAGGATCGAAGCAGCTGGTGGTCGAGTTTTAGTAGTGGATGGAGCTAGAGTTGAAGGAATTCTAGCCACGTCGAGAGCCATAGGTAATTAAACATATTTCTCAATTCTCAGATTATGGTAATTGGTAAAAGATGATTTTAAAGTTGCTATTTGAGATTTAGGGTTTAAATTTTTTGAAAAGTAGTAACTAATATAAAAATATGTAAATTTTTGTTTGGTGCGAGTTCTTTGTTGATAAAATTTAATTTTATTTTAGAAGATGTTCTATAATTGTTCTTTTTAAAAAATATGTAAATTTTACTCTCTTTTTTGTTGACTTTTTTATTTGGGTCAAATGTTAACTTAATTTTACATTGGTCCTAATAGTTAACATTTGACCCCAAAAACAACCAAAGTTATATTTGTAGCATTAACTATAAAACAAGAATAATTGAATCATTTTACTAAAATAAAAATGTGTGGGCATTCATACAAACCCTCTCATAACGAAAGAAGTATATTTTTTATTTCAAAAGAATTTAAGTTTATTTTATCCTTTTTTCATTGTTTGGTCATTGACCAACTTAAAACTTATTTCGGCTTATACAGCTTATTAGACCAACATCAGGTTTAAGGCCAATTATTGTTCCTAATGTTGTGTTATTACAATCGATGGAGCAGGGGACAGGTATCTGAAACCAATGGTAGCATGGGAACCAGAAGTAACATTCATGAGAAGGGAAGCTGGAGATGACTGCTTAGTATTAGCAAGCGATGGGCTTTGGGATGTGCTCTCGAGTCAGCTAGCTTGTGACATAGCTAGGTTTTGTCTCCGCGAAGAAACTCCCTCGAGCCTTGATTTAAACAGAATGGCTCAAGAAGACGACAATGACGGAGAACAGAACCCTTCAAGGAGTGTATTGGCTGCAACGTTGCTTACTCGGTTGGCTTTGGGTAGACAAAGCAGTGACAATATAAGTGTGATTGTCATTGATCTCAAGAATAACACTTAATAATACTGGTTTCGGATCGGTTTTTGGGTGGTTGTGCAATTAAGAGGTTGAACCAAAGAATAAGATGTTGATATGGCGATGAGCCTTGATTAGTTTTAGGGTTTAGCGCTTGTCTCTTTGTTTTGTTATGAATTGGGGTTACCAATTAACAACGGCGAATGTGAAAAGAAAAGAGTGTGGCTTTGGTCGTTGTAGTTCATTACACGCCGGTCTAGGTTTTTAAGAAAAACTTGAATTTTTTTTTTCCAATGGTTTTAAAATCGTCTCTATGTTTGTGTCGCACTGTGTATATTATTCATATAAAATATTTGATGATTTGTAATAATATATTTGCAGTATATTAAATTTAATATTTTATACATGTGATTTCGGTACAACCAAATGGACTTAAGGCTGAAGATTTTAAACCAGCCTAACCCTACTCAACCGGGCAGTTTATACTTGGTTCAACAATGCTATAAAGGCTTTTGGGCCAATTATCAGATTGTCTTTAGGCTTGAAGTAAAGAAAAAAAAAGTTGTGCAAGAGAATCAAAGAGAACAATTAAAGAAAAAGAGACAAAAAGGCAACTCTAGACTCTCTAATAGTTCGATGAAATTGGAACATTTCGAACAAGTTTGACGAATACAGAATTTTGGTCCTAAGAGCATCTCCAATGGCCACAATATTGGGTTCTCTTCAAAGGTTCTCTTCAAAAAGAATTTCAAAAATAAATAGAAATCATGATATATGAAGAGAGCTGTCTCTCTTGTGAGAGGTTTTGGAATGCAAGAGAGCCGATGACGTGGCAGCCCCCTATTGGTCGATGTTTTTGACAAAAGAAAGAAAAAAAACACAAGTTCACGCGTAAAAAAAAAAAAAAAAGCTCTCTCTTTCTTTCTTTGGCGATTGCGATGGCGATGGCATTCACGATCGAAGCTTCAGATTGAGATTGAGATTTCTCTTCAGAGAGAGAGAGAGGTCGAAGCTTCACGATCGTATAATCATGGCGACGGCTTCAGGTACCTATTTCCTTCAAATTTCTTCTAATTCACTTGAATTTGTTTCTCGATTTGGCTTTAATTTCCCTTTTCGTGGTCAAGAATCTCGATTTCGAATCCTACTTTCGTAACAGAGGTTCGTGATTATCATTATAAACAATTCATATTCTTCATTTGATTTGCCTCATCATGATTCAGATTTCTCATGATAAAAAATGATGCTTTATTTATTTTCACGTTGTCTCTGTTCTTCATCGTTAAGTTAAATGGTTTTGATCGGGTTGTTAATTAAAGGATCATTAAAGGGTTTGATGAAATGAATCACCTTTAAGTTTTTTTTATCTGTTTGTGAATTTGCAGGACGAGCTTTGGAAGAACTCAGAAGTTCTTTATACAATGAACTTAAAACATCAGAAAATGCTAAACGGCAACAACAGAGATTTTGTGGCCCTGTTGTTGCAATGTCCTTCAATTTCATTGTTGCTGTTGGAATCATCCTCGCCAATAAATTAGTAATTCGGTTTATTGAAAATATCCCAAAATTTTCTTATTTCTTTGTCTTTTTTTACCTTGTGATTGTAATTGTAAGGTTGTGTTTTACAGGTGATGGGAAGAGTTGGATTCAATTTTCCAATCTTTTTAACATTGATTCACTATACTGTTGCTTGGATTCTTCTAGCTTTCTTCAAGTCTCTCTCTTTGCTTCCGATGTCTCCTCCTTCAAAGACTACACCTTTCTCATCTCTCTTCTCTCTTGGAGCTGTCATGGCCTTTGCTTCGGGGCTCGCTAATACCAGTCTCAAACACAACAGGTTCATAGCTCAATCTATATAATTTTCATCAAGATTCATAGCTCAAGCTTGAAAGCTTTTGTTTTTCTGTTTCCAGCGTTGGATTCTATCAAATGGCTAAGATCGCAGTGACACCAACGATTGTTCTGATGCGTCTTAGAATCAGAGTAAGAACATAAGAACATGAAACAGAGAACACTTGTATTTGGGCAATTATCATTGCCTCTTTTTTGGCTTTTCATTAATTTATAAGAGAAAGATTACAATGAAACAAACGTGGAGACTGTGCTCCTACAAGACAGGAAATGGGAAAGTGGTGAGATTGGTTTCCTCACAACAAGGAAGACTCAGTCTCATTATTAACTGAAACAAATGCAGAAGCAAATACTCAAACCAGACACTTCCTACGACATGTACTTTCTGTTTGGGAATTTGGTTCGGTTTGAAGTGCGCCGGTTTGGTCCAATACTCTCATCAACCGGTTCTCTGTCTCACGAATAAGTTAGAATGAATGTGTACCACAAACTTTATTCTTTGTATGTTTTGCAATTGCTATAAATAATGGAATCGTCTTTGGAGAAAATTTCGCAACAATCAACAGAATAACTAATCGTTTTTTTTTTGCAAATTTATTTTCAAATGTATGTAATTATTGTATGTTTAATATGTTATGAATTGTAATATTTTCAGTTTTATGAAATAAAATAATTAAAAAAATAATTTAATTTTTTTCTGAGAACCCTACAAAGAGAACCTACCATTGGACTTTGCAAAATTAAAAAAATTTAACAAAAGCTCTCATCTCATAAATTTGAAAATTTTATTCTTAAAGAAATGGTGAGAGCCCATGGAGGGCTCTCACCATTGGAGATGCTCTAACTAAAACGCAGATCAAGAATCAAGAATTGTCTTCGAAGTAAATAGAAAAAAAGCGTGAGATGGAGAATGTTCTTATGAATAATTCCCACATTACTTTTTGTTCTTTTCTTTTTGGGTCATTATCGTCTCAGTGTTTGTCTCGCACTTTTCTTTGAATCATAATTGTGTTTGTGGGCCTTTTAGCTTCTCTCTACGTCTTGTTTAGTTTCAAGATTGGACCACAAAAGAGAGTGAGAATCAAGAATCTTTTTTTTTCTTTTGTTTAAAACTACCAACCAAGAAAATCTACTACATTTCCCTCCCTACTTAACCTTCTAATGAATTTTCTACTAAATCAGAAAATTTTATTTTACCACAACTTTTTAAGGAATTTGAAGACGGGGGAATTTTTCTTTACCCTCTAATTTTTTATTATTATACATGGACTCAGATTAAGTAAGTGCTTTACTTAAATGTCAAACTAAAATTAACAACTAAAGTTATAGATTGTCAAAAGAAAATCTAACCAATCTCTTGTGTGGTCTAATTACCTACCTAACGTGATATAGTTAAACTAACTCAGGCTAGATATTCTAAGATCAAAATCTAAACATTATTTCTATGCAGTTATTCTCTCATCTTTCACAGACTTTAATACTTTACCTCCTAATTGGTGATTTTAGATAGATACTCTCACATTTTCCTTTTTAAATTGTTAGCTATATTTGAATCGTTTATCCAAAAGAAAAAAAATTGTTAGATATTTGAACAAAGTGTATGCAATCCAAATCATCTCCAAAACCATATGTTTGTGTTCACTCACTCCATTCTTTATCCAAACCAACATTTTCGTCTGCACCATCATAGTGGATATTTTGACTCAATCAAACTTCCACCAACGTTTCTGCCGTGTATGTCTGTTTGTTGTTTATTCTAATGGAAATTTAAAGTTAAAAAAAAAAAAAAAAACATGCTAATTAGTAGTATGTCAAAGGAGTATATACTATATATTTTCCTCAAGGAAGAATCACTAACTATTTTAGTAGTACATTAGAAAAACATAATATATTTTGAAAGTTATGTTAAAAACATAATATACTAATTAGTTTTTTTTTTTATGTTCTCCTTTGACATACTACTAACTATTTTAATAGTACATTAGAAAAACATAATATATTTTGAAAGTTATGTTAAAATAATGATTTTTTTGCTAAGAATGTTAAAATAATGATACGTAAAATTATAGTGCATTTTTTTAATACGCTTCATTTGATCAAAATATTATCAAAGTTTAACACCATTTTCATTGTTTATTTATTTAATAAGACAAATCCAAAATTCCAAATTAATATTCTTAATAACCCCTACTCATCCGATCAATGACCCATGTGAAATTATACTCTTTAATTATACGCTCTCATAATCTCATTACATAACATACCAATAATACATAACTTAAATCACTAAATTAATGTTGATTAAACAAAAAGTAAAAAAGCTACAAATTGTCAACTGTCAAACTTTAATTATAGTCTTTGCGTGATGTAATAAAAAAAAATCATTAAATGTCTGTCAAAAAATTAAAAAGTCATTAAATGTATGAAAAGTCATTAACTACTGTGTGTGACCACAAAATTGTGTAACAGCTCATCTTCAAAGTGTTGTAATAAAAAAAAAAAACTAATTTTTATTTTCACTTCAAGAGAAAAACAAAACTTCGTATACTTTTTTGTTCTATGCCGTCACGAACACTCTCGTCGCCGGCACCGGTAAATTCACCGTTCTCTTCCTCCGTCGCATCTCACCATGATAGAACCACCACACGCATCTTCCCTCCACTTGCAGCTGTAGGTTTCTCTCTCTTCATAACTCTCTCCATCTGTTTCTGCAAATTCAACCGCAAACGCCGATCTCCCGCCGCCGTAACATCCTCCTCTACACCACCGCAGAAACCTCCATTACACGAATTCTCCTACTCATCTCTCCGTAAAGCAACCTCCTCTTTCTCACCGGAGAATCGACTAGGTCAAGGCGGATTCGGCTCTGTCTTCCGTGGAACTTTATCTCCATCCTCCGGTGGTAATGTCGCCGTTAAAGTAATGGATTCAGGTTCTCTTCAAGGAGAAAGAGAGTTTCAAAACGAGCTTTTCTTCGCCGGTAAGCTTGACTCTCCTCATGTAGTTTCCGTTATTGGCTTCTCTCGACGACGAAGCCGTTTGATTCTTGTTTACGAGCTTATGGAAAATGGAAATCTTCAAGACGCTCTTCTTCTTCGTAGATCTCCTGAGCTTATGATATGGAATCGAAGATTTCTTGTGGCGATTGATATAGCTAAAGGGATTGAATATTTACATAGCTTGAATCTTCCTGTGATTCATGGAGATTTGAAACCTAGTAATATATTGTTGGATCGTTTCTTCTCTGCTAAGATATCTGATTTTGGTTTAGCTAGGTTGAAATCTGAACTTGTTGAAGTTAAAGTAGCATCGGAGAGTGATGAAGTCAATGTAGTGGAAGATTATGGATCTGTTGTTGAAGAAGTGGAGAGTGTTGTTACTAATACTACTGGTTATGATGAATCTAACTTTGGATTTACTGATCAGTCTCCGGTGCCTCTTTCATCGCCGGAGATGGTGGCACAGGCGCCTATGGTGTCACCGGAAACAGTTGTATCTGTTTCGCCGGAAATGGGGGAGAAAGTTAGTGTATTGGAGGTTGGTAATGTGGTGAAGAGTAAGGATTGGTGGTGGAAGCAAGAAGGGAATGTTGGAAGAGGGAAAGGGAAGGAGTATGTGATGCAATGGATTGGTTCTGAGGTGAAGAAAGAGAGACCGGGTGGCGATTGGATTGCTGAGACGGCGGAAGGAGGTAAGAAGGTTGAGAAGAAGAAGAGTAGTAAGAAATTAGAATGGTGGCTTTCGTTGGATGAAGAGAAGGAGAAGGAGAAGAAGAAGAAGAAGCGGAGAATGGTGAGAGAGTGGTGGAAAGATGAGTATCGGAAAGAGCTTGCTAAGCGAATGAAGAGGAAGAAGAAGAAGAAAACTTTGGAGTCTGAGTTTTATAGTGATGATGTGAGTGGAAGTGTGGATCAAAGGCGGTGCGGGGATGAAGAATTGTATAGGAAGAAAAGAAGAGGTGGTAGTAGTAATAGTATAGGAAGTAGCATAGATTGGTGGTTAGATGGGCTAAGCGGTGAACAATGGAGAGCACGGCGTAGAAACAGTCAAGATTCAGTTAAGAGTTGCGGAGTCAGTAGCACGCCGAGCATGAGAGGGACGATGTGCTACGTTGCTCCTGAGTGTTGTGGTAATAACATAGATGATGTGTCTGAAAAATCTGATGTGTATAGCTACGGAGTTTTGTTGTTAGTCCTGGTTTCAGGACGGCGGCCGCTGGAAGTAACTGGACCCGCGTCTGAGATCATGCTACGTGCAAATCTCATGTCGTGGGCAAGGAAACTTGCGAGAAGAGGGAGACTCGGTGATCTGATAGATGAAAAGCTGCAGTTGTTAGACAAAGAACAAGCGGTTTTGTGCATTAAGGTGGCTTTGCAGTGTCTGCAAAAATCCCCGGTTTCACGACCATCAATGAAAGATGTTTTAGAAATGCTAACAGGAGCAATAAGCCCACCGGATTTGCCTACAGAATTCTCACCATCACCGCAGACTCGCTTCCCGTTCAAGACACGAAGGAAGCATAATCGGTAGAAAGGTTTCTTTGGTGATGGTGGATGTGTGTGATGATTTAGAGCATTTGTTCTACAACACCACCTTTGTTAGTGATGTGTAGTGTTGGAGCCACTTGATATGTTCGCACAACTCTGTTTTCGCTTCGAATATCTGATTATAATTAATTAATGTAGTTTAGTGATTATCTTCTTGTAAAACTAAGCATCAATTCTTGCTAGAGGTATGCGGACTTTGCATAATGATTAGCCCGTATGCAGTATATGAAGACTAATCTGAGATTTGGAAAAAATTCCAAAAATTGAAAAATATGTGATCCTCGTGATTGGGCCTAATAGGAAATTCATAAGGCCTTATCCTGTCTTAATTGGGTTACACCATATACTTGGTTTGGACTGGTCCTATCTTAAAAATCAAAGTACAATTGGTTTATTGGGTTTTGGTAAAGGTATATAATTTATTTATTTTTCTTTTCTAAACGTTATGCTGATGCATTCATCAAATCACTACTTTGGGCAAAGCCGGTCTTGAAGATATAAAGGCCCCAAGAAAAAAAAGAATGATTAAGAGTTAAGACTCATTCAAATTTTTAAGAGATAAGAAAGGACATGATATATGGTTATTAGAGGGGTAAAACACACTCACTATGAGAAAAACACACGTTTTTAAATCCACAAATCCATTATTTCTTGCTTCGCTTGGACTAAGGACATGCTTTGCTTTGGATTTCCAATTTATTTTAAAAATCTTCAAAAAACTCGATTTAACCAATAACCATATTGGTAAATATAAAATCATATGAAATATTTTTTTTGGCCATGTCATATTTCTTTCGTTTTTTAGTTGTGGTTAAAACTAGTCGACAATTACCGTTATACCAATGTTAAAACTATGCCAATGGTGTGCTGGTAGAAACTGTCCAAAAGCTACTGTCAACTATCATATAATTTTTACTTCGAACAATCACTTTTCAAATATTTTCTTTTATGTTGTAATCTTGTTGTTTTTTTTTCCAGAAATGATTCTCGTGGAACTTTTAGTTATATATAAGCTATACGTTGATTTTGTGTTTTTTTTGAGCTCATGTGTGGTTTCATGCCAAATACCAACTATCTTTGCCAAAGGTTTGAAAACTACGGACGTCGAACTGACGAAAATTACCACCACCTCACCGTAGTAAAATGTGATAATTACCGACGAACTACTGTTTAAAATGATGCATCAGAAAATATTGATGCCTTTCCAACGAAGTTTTTTGACATCAACAATACGTTAATTATCCATATATTTTTGTTAAAATTTTATTGCATCAATTAAAAAGAAGAGGACAGTTTAAAAAAACTTTCAAGATAAACGTATTAGTACATAACATTGAACCAAAAACGGATTATTTGGTCGCCAAAATCTTTGTTTTTTTTAGTGTGCAAAGTTTATCTTGAGAAATTGGAGGATTTTCTCAAAATGATATCTAATTTAGAATAATGGTAATAAGAAAATAATAAGCATGGAATCTCGGAATAGAACATCATATTTGATTAAACATTATCAACTATAGAAGAAGGAGCTGATGAAGACAGTCATCACTGCGTGCGTACCCTAACAAACGTATTTTTAATTCCTTTTCAGATACGACTAACCAACGTATCTTCTTCTCTCTATTAAATAATATTATCAAAATATCCTTTTATTTAAATTATATTGCTCAATCTTCAAGACTGCAATAATTTTTCAACTTTACAACAAAGCCCTGAGCTGTTCTTCTAAAGACTAAGATCACAAAATCCGCAGAAGATCAGATCTTGCTGTCTCTTCTTCATCATCAGAAGTAGAGAATCTTTTAAAGGAATATATACTTTTATTAATTTAAGACCACCAAAGCTTTTTAGATGGATGATTGTCGGGACAAGAGAAGAAGACGGTGTACGAAGCTGACATGTAGTACAGATAATAACAACGACATGGAGAAGATGATGCATAGAGAAACTGAGAGACAAAGGAGACAAGAAATGGCTTCTCTTTATGCTTCTCTTCGTTCTCTTCTCCCTCTTCACTTCATCAAGGTCTCACTCCCCAACTACTAAAAACCCTAATCTTGATTTCGATTCTTCATTACTTCTTTAGATCTACTTAATCTTTGTCCTTTGATTTGGTCTTCCATGTAAGAAAATGAACAAGGGATCGTAATAAGTGTTTTGACTTTGTGATGTTACTTAACTATAGTGTTTTATCTTAAGAGATTCCTATATAGATCTATTACTTTCTTGGTTTGTTTTGTTTCTTGGCGGATTCTTTTGCTCTCTCTAGGGTAAGCGTTCAACGTCAGATCAAGTCAACGAGGCGGTGAACTACATAAAGTATCTACAGAGGAAGATCAAGGAGCTGAGTGTGAGGAGAGATGAGCTCATGGTACTGTCTAGAGGAAGCTTCTTGAGTAGTAGCAATGATGATTCTAAGGAGGAGGTGGAGATGATGAGTAGGAAGAATAATGTGGTGGTTCGTCAGTGTTTGGTGGGTGTGGAAATCGTATTTAGTAGCCGCTGCTGCGGTGGCCAACCGCGGTTTTCGAGTGTTCTTCAAGTGCTTAGTGAACATGGTCTCTGCCTTCTTAACTCCATCTCCTCTATTGTTGATGATAGGCTAATTTACACCATACAGGCCGAGGTAAACCTATCCTACCCTCATACTCTTAGTTACTTATTTCAGTTGTGATATAGACGACATCAATTGTTCCAAACGCATATATATATATATATTGGTTTTTTCTGAAAATACTTTTTTATTTCGAACTTTTCATTAAATTCTTTTACAAAATGCAAATCAAAGTTCTCCATAAATCTTTCGTTTTGTTTGGTTTTCGTGTTTGTAGTTTATAAAAATGTTTGGTAAAAACAATAATTGGTGTGGTTGCGTTGTAAGATACACATACATACAGTTTCATAACATCTCAATTTAGATGCAAAAACAAAGAAAATAATTGAGGTCTTTGGTAATATATGTATATACCAGGGGCGGACCCACGTTGGTCTTGGGTGGGGCATGTGCCCCATGCTAAATCCAATAAATACTATATAAACTAACAGTATTAAAGGAAAAACATAGTTAGCCTAGTGGTTTTTCTGCCTAGTTTACACCACATCAACTCAAGTTCAAGCAACACCAACGTTTTTTTTTATTGACTTTTTTTACTTTACATCAATTTAATTGTTACTAATGTAATATTTTTAATAATTATAATATAATTTAACTAATTAAATTATATTTAATATTTAAATATATGGTGCCCCATATAGAATTATTTCCTGGATCCGCCACTGGTATATACTATCGACATTTGAATCCATCAGATTGTAGACGTTAGTAGAAAACTTATATATCTGTCTATCTTAAGCATCAAATATTTGAAAAGAAGAAATCATAATTGCAAATGTCCATATAGAAGAAAATGTTCTCACATGTGGTAATTAAAATTCATAGCCCTCATGCATTTAAATATATATATCATCTCAGGGTATATGTATTGAATTTTGAAAACTATTATATTTTTGGAGGTTAGAGTGTGTGCATTATCAAGGTATTTCTATAATTCTGTCCCAGGTTTTGGCATGGAATATCCAATTATATAACAAAATGATCAAACTGCATGTTCCTGTTGTTTGATTTTGTCTTCGAATTTTCTTCAAAGCAAAAGGCTACATTTTGAATGGAATAAAAATCTTATTCGTATGAAGAGATGTATAACTTCGTATATATACTACTATACAGAAAAGTTTGGTACATTTGAGTGTATATATATTGAAAATTTCTTTTGTTTTGCAGGTCAACGATATGGCTTTGATGATTGACTTAGCAGAACTTGAAAAGAGATTAATCAGGATGAAGTAAATTCTTGTTGAGTAGGTTGCTCTAATAACTTGTCAAGCAAACGACATATATAGTTAAGTACGTACTTTATTCGTACTTGTGATTGTTGTGTCGTGTTCACATCTATCTGTATGTATATATTTCTATCCTATTCGCTTGTCATTAGCTCATTTAGTTGTTTATAGATCGGAAAATTATGTTTCCCATAAGCTGAGTTAGTACTTTATGGTTATATGCTTTTTTCTTTCCTTGATATACTTTATGGTTATATGCTATGATTCAAATTGTGTATTTGGGATTTTCTTTAATAAATTTGAAAAAAAAATTAAAGTTTTTGATGGTGTTTAGGCAGTGTTCGAAGTTGGTAGCATTCGTTTATTAAAAAAAAAAAGAGTTGGTAGTATTCTGCTGATTTTTATATAAGAAAAACCAAGGAAAAATTACAAAATAACAATTTATACTTGTAAGACTAGAATATATTAAACTCATTAAGGTGCACATATTAGTGCTCATATAAGAATCTGTTTACAAAAAAAAACTAAGCATATACTGTATGAAACAGCTACTATTATATATAAAAAACTAAGCAAAAAACTATATAGTATTAAAAAGATTTGTGTAGCTTCAATCTGCTTTAATCTATAAAAAATATTATTTTTTATTATCATTGATGTGAAACAGCTAGCTAAGTATTTTCCATCTTTTTTTTGGTAGGGTGTATTTTCCATCTTTTTTTTGGTAGGGTGTATTTTCCATCTTTTTAAAGGTCAATATTTTGGATATTATAAAACTGATATATTTGATCAAAATTTATAGTACAATGAGTTACGTTGTACTAGCAACGCAAGTGAAGTTTTATTGAGATTCCAATATTATACATGTGTGGATTTTTAATATAAAAAATGCTTGCGGTTAGCATTTTGGTTTCACAAAACTAAAATATCTTAAAAGTTATAAAAATTTTGGGCGACATATACATCGATATGTTCATGATGATAAACTTTTACAAAACAAACCTAACTGAAAAAGCATAAAATTATTGCCAGAGAAGATATTATTAAAGTCTCATTATAATAATTTCAAAACAAATGTGGTTAAGTGAACTTTTATGGAAAGAAAACAACAACTTTGATTAAATACTATATTACAAGAAAACATGCGGAATCCTACGGAAAAACTATTTGAATTATTTTTTTGAAACCTTAGACAGAATTCGACCATCGAATATAGAACACTGGAAATTAAAATCTATCGGAAATTTTTTAGAATTTTCCGACGATTTTCTAATTACGTTTAAATATTATGAAGTTAAATTCAAATTCGATTTATGAAATAAAAATCTTTTATTTATACAACTGGGAAGCTCTCATTATCCTTATTATTTTCTTTTATCCTCAAAGTATTAAAAATGATCATCACTAGAATCATCAAAATCAAAGATTTTAATCGAGTAATTAAATCTCACAAATACGAGTAGACTAGATTTCTGTTTCCAATCACAACTATTGTTGAAGTCTCTTCACTATATTAAATTCGTCTTCCTTGACGGCAGTTCTACTGTTTATCTTTATAACAATTGGTTAGAAAATATTGTTAGATTATTGTAAGTGTTTGTATTTGAACACGCTTACACACAGAAAATAAATAAACTTGAGGTTTTACTGAATGTTACATAAAATAAAATGTGATATCATGGATGCTCGAAATAATTTGGGAGAGTGGGATCCATGAGCTGCTAATGAGGCTGGGATATTTTAGGACAAATGAAACAGCTGGTTTCCATCTACTAAAAATTAGGATCTTTCTTGTCTCCTCTTCCACCTTGTCCCGAAGTTGCCTGAGCTGTCTATCTTTTTAACTATGTCCACTCCACTTCACTCATCCTATCCATTTAGCTTATCCCCATTATTATTACATTTGTCTCCCTTGACGGCAGTTTTACTCTTTATCTTTATAATATCTTCATTGAAAACTATTGTGAAATTACTATATAGAATATTTACCCCAAAAAAAGATATTTTTTTGTTCAAGTGAATGAGAGTGAATTTCGAATATTTTGAATGTTAGAGCATCTCCAAATCCAATATGGTTAGATACTCACTAAAAATATCTAATCAATATTATATAATTTTATTATTTAATCAAATTTTAAGTAATAAATAAAAATGAACTAATTATATTGAAACATATGGCAAATAAAATTTTAAAAATATTTCAAAAAATCACTCTCTTTCTTCATCTTTTTTTTATCATCTTATTGTGAAAAATTCATTAAGAGCTCTCCGTTGGAAAGGCTATACCGCTATATATTATATATCTTCTTTCGTTTAACCATTATGGGATATGTAATTTTTGTATTTCTAGTGTACATACGATTACATGCTTAGACTGCATGCTTTAGAAAGTTCGGTTAAAATACTGAAAATTTGTGTGTTCATTGATATACTATAAACATGCATGATCACGAACACCTCGATAAATAATGTCCTGAGTACATGTACACGTTCTTATTTGCTGAATGTCCTTTGCTGCTACTTGCTACCATAGAGTTACATTGGGCCGAAACTAATAGAAACCACACATAATTATTTCGTTGTTTTGTGTTTTTGTCAACCAAATCACACATAATTTCAACGACAAAACTTTCTAATTTGAGCAACCTCTTTATATCATTGAAAGTTTCTATTGAGAATTCTATAGCTGACTGTTCATCCATTATCACAGTAGAGAAATCCAGATATTTTGATCAAATGTCTTATTTCTTTCTTTCTTTCTCTCTTTCTTTCTTTCTTTCTTTCTTTCTATCTAGAAGCAGAGGTGCCAGTGTATCATAAGAAGAAGAAAAAATGCATCATCAGTCATCTTCAAATCACATGCAATATTTGGAAAATACTTGAAAATAATAAACATGAAAGATCATCATGATGATCAAGTAATAATAATGATGATCAAGCAAGAAAAACAATTCAAATGTGGTAAAAATGTATAGGTATATATACACATTGTTGCGGATCTTACTGGCCAATAGTTGTACATTATTGTATAATATTTAGAAGGATTCTTTATTGGTAATTAACTACACCAGCCAGCAAATTGCCGCCATTATTATGTAGCTAATTTTTCTAATTATATTGTGATTTATTTATGCGACGATTTTATCCTAACTATGATACTAATTGCAACTTGTAGTAGGATAGAACGGTTCCAAATATCTTAATTTAAAGTCAGGATGAACTTCCAAATATCCGATATATATCCATCCAAACATCATTACATTCTCATATATATATATATATATATATATGATAAATTGAACTATATATTTTAGATCTGGATCCGTATACATTTATGAAGACATTAAAATCATAATATTAGGATCCGTTTTAAACTGATCCTAGATTTTAATACTCATATTTCTTGGACATCCGAATTTTTCACAAGACAGACACTCCAATATTAAATAGCTAGAGAAAGAATCGGCACACACTCGCTAGTTAATATACATACAAAGCATAAAGTTCTGTCACGTGTAAACTATTACAGCAAACCAAAATATTTGACTAAAGAAAAGAAAACACCTCCCGAGGCTGCATTATTTAGTAAGTCTTCTTTCTTCCATGAAATATGATTAAAGAAGACAGACCCAATTATTTAAGGGCAGTCTCTCCTATAAGACCTAACAAGTTCATTACAAAAACAAGAGAGACAAACACGATTACTGCTGAGATCTGCCATTTCTAAACCTCAACCCATGAATCCTTCTAACAATCGTAAAAAGACAAGGCACCAGAGTCATATGCCTCAAGAAAGAGATGAAACGAAGAAGGAGAAGAAGCTTCTCCACCGCAACATCGAACGACAAAGAAGACAAGAAATGGCCATCCTTTTCGCCTCTCTTCGTAGTCAGCTACCTCTAAAATACATCAAGGTTCATATATTTTACTCAAATAAACTCATTGAAGTCCCAATCTTCCTATCAAGTTCATTGATGGGAGATTTTTGTTCTCTAGGGTTTTAGTTTTCTCAGGCTCTTTCTTCGCAGGGAAAGAGAGCCATGTCAGATCATGTAAACGGAGCAGTAACTTTCATCAAGGACACGCAAGCACGGATAAAAGATCTCTCCGCAAGAAGAGACGAGCTAATGAGAGAGACTGGTGACCCTACTAGTCAAACTGGATCCGGATCCGGATCTGGGTCAAGTAGATCGGAACCAGCTAGTGTCATGGTGCAACAGTGCGTGAGCGGCTTCGAGGTGGTTGTGAGCAGCTCAGCTTCAGGTCTTGAGGCTTGGCCACTCTCAAGAGTTCTTGAAGTTCTTCACGAACAAGGACTTGAAGTCATCAGCTCTTTAACCGCACGAGTCAACGAGAGGCTCATGTACACTATACAAGTCGAGGTACGGTTACATATTTAGAGTTGTTCTAGGGTTTTTAGTGTAAGCTTATCCATTATGTGAATTATATGCTTATGTTTATGTATCCATATATATATGATATATAATCCACAGGTAAATAGCTTTGATTGCTTCGACTTAGCTTGGTTGCAGCAGAAGCTAATTGAGGAATTAGTACTTTCCACGACCAGGCACTGAAAAAATCTAACATTTTTCATAAGAATATGTTCATTGAGTGATGTTTTGTCCCAATCTCTTTATTTTAGTGTCCATAAAGGTGTGTTCTTCTTGGTCCTTCACTACTTGGAGTGAATTTTTGTGTGAAGATGATCTGGTTCGTTAGATTGAATTAGCAAATTTTAAACTTTCGTTCATGCTTCTTTATATATGAGTATAGATATATAATCTTTTGTCTTAAAGGATTTATTCGAGTGCATCAACAAAACAAAAATATAGTGATGTGCCTGATTTCTTTATACATTTTTCAATATATAGAGACATATAGTCATCAATCGATGCTAAAGACTAAAGTCTCATTACATTAATAATCGGTGTCTTTTTATACTTCATATGCATGAACTAGTTGATAGATATTTTGACCATAGCATATATACACTTCTCTGAGACTTACCAAAATGAAGATATATATGAGAGGAGCAAGGTAATGCAGGTTTAATGGAGCAGCTGCCATTCAACATTAGTGGATATATATCTTATCTTGTGACTTTTACTGACTGAATTCGTACGACATTGACCTAGCTAGGAACAAAATTTACATGATTCAAGTAACTTTGATTTGAATTGATTGACCCTATATATATATATATGTAGATAATATGGCATGCATGTACATACATTTGAATCCATCAAATAATCTCAATTATGTTCAACATTATTATGGGACAAAAAATTTATTAGCAAGATTACAACACGTGTCGATTCAGCGATTAGATCGTATATGTCATATCATCTATTCATCTGTATATCGATGATATGACACAATATTTTTAGTAACGTATATATTTCATATGTTCTTTTGCCTCTTCAATCTCTACTAGAAGCACATAAAACAATATAGCATATTTAAATTTCAGTCACATATTTTTTTTAGATTCTGTAAATTACGGTTTAAATACATGATACATCTTTAATATATAACAATCAGCGAGGATGGCAGTCGAATGTTAAAGCAAAAAAGATACGATTGATTGAGTGGTTGAGATCTCCCTAATATATACTTTTGATTTAATTATTGTTAGTTAAGCACAAAGATGCTGTCCAACGAATTCATGATCTTCAAATCGGATTATGTTCTAATAAAGACAGCCTAATTAGATCAATACTTAAATCAATTGTTGGTGATGCGTTATTGAATAATTTTCTGACCAAAAAACATAATTTTCTAAAAGTCCCTTTTCCAAAAACATTTATAAGAAAAAGTTTCGCATATCCTGCCCGATCCCAAATTCGAATTTAATTATAACAAAATTTTCGGTAAACTATTTATTTATTAATAATAAATTGGTCACATATATTCTGATTTTTAGTTCGAGAAGTCCGATTTTAACGATTTGAAGTCTAATTATTGGCACAATTTGAGACAGCTTACCTAATCTTACATAGTGGAAGAAAAAAAGAAGCTCTAATCTTAGTTTTACATATGTATGGTCTCTGGCTTTAGAAGGGTTGACCTGAAGTTATCTAGTTGAGTGTTGTGTGAGTGTGAGGTTTGACCCGTTTATGATGCTGATTAGTTGGCATACATATCATTATCCGCATGTACTACACTACTACCAAAAGATATCTGCTTGTACTTTGGTCAGCTTTCGAATATATTTGGTGGTGTACGATTTTACCAAATATCCTTAAGAATTAATTCCACTGGGCGAATATTAGTCAGCCGTAATTTGACTTTAAAAGAAGAGGGTCTAAAAAATTATTGTGAATAATAAATATTAAATAAATGAGTTCTATCCCGTGAATTTTGGAGAAAAAAAAAACACAAAGTTTTGTACATCTTTTATCGTGATTTTTTTTTATAGATTTGTACACTACAAGAGATACAGTATTTTACGTCGGTTTATTATGACTCTTACGTCAGTTTATAATTGACTTCAATCAAATAGCAACGGTTATTAAACCGACTTAATAACCTTCGACGCTAAAAATCTTAACATCAGTTACACAACCGACATGTACTTTAACGTCTGAATCTTTGAGTCGGTTTTATAGATTATAACATCGGTTTTTGTGACTTAAAAGTTAAAATCTCTTTTCCTGTTTGAATCACTTATACAACCGACGTGTATATAACTAATATTTTTCAATTATTTTATGCTATTATATATATATATATATATATATTTATACTCTAGTCAATTATAGTTTCAAATGATAATCTGTATAAAAATTCAACTAATCAAAAGAACTTGTTTTTACATAGAATATAAATGTCACATAATCAATATGATAGATACAAATTTATCTTCATCTATAGCTCTCCATAGTTCTCAAATTGCTGCTTTTGTAATACACATTTCATCTTGCCTGAAATTAGAGACAAGTTCAAGAGTTATACAATTTGAAAATATCATACAAGTTTTAGAGTCATAGATTTCCAAAACAGAGTTAAATTAGATTGTTACCTTGTCACTTGATATACTAGATGATACTTGATGCAGCATGTTAATAGCAGTAGCAAGGTTTATGTCTCTACCATTCTCATTCTCCTATAACAATTAATGAACATGTTAATATATATACTCTACCACTACAATTCTCATTCTTATAACTGTCAAATCTATATACTCCATCACTACAATTCTCATTCTAAGAACTGTTAATCATATATACTCAACCACTACAATTCTCATTCTTAGAACATTCATTTACTTACATGGAATTGAATGTCTCTGCAAGCTTCAAGAAGAACTTCATGAGCATTAGCAAGCTTTATGTTTCCACCATTCTCATTCTCCTATAGAAGTAACGTATTTTAAAATTGTAGTACTCTTAACGTTGTTAATCTTATAAGAATACATTCATTTACTATAGAAGCATGTCTACCTGGAAAAATCCAAAAACTCCTTGACTCCGATTATGTAATCTTGAGACAATCGAGGTTTTGTTATCCACGACTTATCCATATCCAAATCCAAACATTTCCTAGATAACAATGACCACTTCTCTGAAAATATTTCAGAGATTCAAGTTTAAGCTACCCATAAAAACAAAGAATACGTTTCTAAGATGCAGACATCGTAGTTTCAAAACCAAATAATTAAGAAACACAGAATCTTATAGTTTGCTAAAAACAACATGAAAAAATAGTACAAGGCTAGCTAATATAATCTCAACCAAACAAGCATTAACAAATGGGTAAACAGATGGATGGATACTATAATCTCACACCAACGACCAAAATTTCAAGGTACAAAGCAAAATCAAGCTAGTGAAAATACTTCAGACACTCAAGTTTAAATTACCCATAATACGTTTCTAATATGCAGACATTTTAGTTTTCTAAACCATATAAAAATCAGAACAAACACAAACCAATCTCATAATTTACTAAAAACATGAATCGCTTCCATGAAAAACAGTACAAGGCTAGATTCTCAGAAAACAACAGTAATAGGCTAGATACTCAGGAAACAACAATACAAAGCTAATCTCACACCAAGCACAATCAAATTTCATATGACAACTAAAATTTCAAGGTACAAAGCAAAATTAAGCAAATATCAAGGGAACAGATTCAATACCTTATTGAAAATCGAGTTAGAGCTTCAAGTGTCCTTCGTCACGGCGTCTGGTTCGAGTTAGAGCTTCAAGTCTCCTTCACCACCAAAAACCACCTTCGATGTTGATAAAATTAAGTAATTAGAATCAAGTAATAATCCAAATCGTAATCAACTTTACAAAATTCTACAAACAAACCTTCGATACGAGCTCCGATTTCGAGATTTTAGAAGAAACTAATCATAGATCTGTGAACGAAGAAGACTGAGTGTTTTTTTTTTTTTTTTTTTTAAGCAAAAAAGAAGAAGACGAGTGTTATTCATCTCAGTTGTCTCTAGAAGTATCTACAGTGTTGGGCTTTAACAAAAATAAATATGGGCTTTAATATGTAAAGAGCCGAATATTACGACAAAAGAGTTACGTCGGTTTACATAATGACATTAAATTCCTTTTTTTCCACAAGTTTAAAGTCGGTTTATTATATGACTTTAATAATTTGACGTAAACAAGCGTGTCTCTTGTAGTGGTAGAATTTGAACAATTTATAGAAACTTTTTGATTGATATATCGAAAATTTTGGGTCTTCAACAACTATGGCGAGGAAGGGACATAAACGATCCCATAAGTTGACTATAGTGGCATAAATTGTAAATAGATCAAAATAAAATTTGTAAAACAAAACTTATCAATTTTTTATATGGTAAATATTTCATAACGGTTAAATCTTTTGAATCTTTCACATAATTTTCAACACACTTAAGTATAAAGTTTCGTGTCTAGATTGGCGCGGTCATTTCTTTGTATACAAAAGTGAAAAAAAGGTGTAGGTTTTTTATTTTTTACTTTTTTTTCTGTTTAAGTTTTCAGATTCGTTTGTTTGTATTTTATTGTGGTTTAGCATAAATGGACAATCTAGTTTACATATATAAGTAGCATAAAGAAGCGGCCCGAGATTTGTAGATGAACCCATAATTATAGGCCCATATAAATAACATGAAGAATCGGCCCGAATGATGTATTTTCCAAGCCCAAACTAGAACAGACAAATACCTTATGAACCAATCGCCTTTTTTTTTGACATCCAACCAACTATTTCCATTACACCAATTCACCAAAAAAACACATCATTACACTACAAAAAATATTATACATTCGGATTTAGAGATATTGGGCTATATTATTATTGTTGGGCCATTGTCTAGCATTTGTACCGTCGTTTATTTTAACTTTCTTTTCTTTTATAGTGTTTCAACTGCTCACTTGGTATACTATTTCCCCATGTATTATCAAATGACCGAATTTGTAGGGATCATGAAACTAGCAAGGACTTTAATATGACTCTCTCATCTATAGTAGATTATTAAAGTCCTTGCTAGTTTTCGTCGGATAAAAACATGTTTGATTATTATCTACATGTTTTGTCAGATCCGGGACAAGTAATCTGCATGATTCAATGTATTGTAAGCATTTGTGACCTTAGTCTAACTCTAAGCGCGAGGCAAAGCAAACTCTAGCTATTAATGTTATCACATTATAAGCATGCATATAATATACTCATGATTACATATTCTCCATAAAGCAGCCATATAGATTTTCTCCCCCACTTTTTCTTCCTTTTTGACGCCCTTTGCTACTTTTCTAAGATGCCGATTACAATATGTGTGTAAGATTTAAAGCCCAAATGAATTAAAAAGGAAATCCAAAAAAAAAAACAAAAAAATCTTGTTGATATGGTATCAACTATCGAGGTTTGAGAAGATAGAACTAAGAAAGTGATGCCTCCCTATAAATAGTTGTGGAAACAAAGACACATTATTTCTATAAATGTTAAAACAAGAAAAGCAAATTTTACCTCCATTGATGAGGCATGAGCATGTGTATGTGCCCTTTTAGGGCAACAATAAATTAATTTCATGCATACAACAAATCAAAAATCTTATGACAAGAAAGTGAAGAGAGAGAGTGTGCTTGTGAATGGTCTGTTAATTAGGTGAGCAGCAGCCGACCTAGAGAGAGAAAAGCATATATAGGGAGTGAGAGAGAGAAACTAGGGTTTTAAATTTTTAATTTGGGGATATTGCAAAGAGATATGAGCTTTTAAGTTTTAATGGTTTGGTGATCGTGCCCATCATTTTTCACTTGTCTTTCTGTGTTTTTAACGGTTTATGAAATTTAAGACATCCTACTCTATATTTCTTCTATTACATTTCCCCTCAAGGCATTATTTTATGCAAGTTATGTAAATTATTGATAAGCTTACTTCCAAATTAATTGATCCAACAGATAGATCAAAATCAAGTCCGGGAAGTCAACTTTTAGACCGGACATATATAGTCACATAAATCGCATCAAGGAGACTATGTGACTGTGTTATAACCTTTGATACATGCTTCTAGACTCTTTAAAGACGGATCGTTGTTTTTGTTGCCGTCCTCGAGTTGCAATTAACTAACCATATGAAATCATCGGTTCTTGGATTAACCCGGTTTCAAAATTTGGGTATAGTAGACTTGAGTCGTGATCTAGCAAATAGTTTCAAAATGGGTTATTATTATGAACTCGAATTCGGTTTTGGAATGTTAGTTAGATTAATGTGGTTATCTTGTGAATGAATTAATATAATCAAAATTATCAATCTCTGTTTTAAATTAATGTAAACATATATATAGTTTGAGAGAAATTACATTTTAGTTCATTTCTTATATGCTTACTATATTTAAATTTTGAATAGAATAATTAAATTCATTAAATTCAAATACATGCGATGCTATTTATACAAATCTGAGATTCATATAACCTTAGATTTACCAGTAAAGACATCAACACAACATTAACAATTTTGGATCTTCGACAATGCTCGATGTACATTATACGATATTTAAAACCAATAATTTATTTCTGAAATATTTTCTGTATTGTTATTTTATTTTTAAATTATCAAATTACACAATAACTTAGAGAGTTTGATTTATTTTTATTTTTAAAAATTATAGATATATATATATATATATATATATATATATATTACTGAATTAAAAAGAGTTCGTACATTTAGTAAGTTGAGCTAAGCTTGCTTACTTGCTTTGGGTAAGTGGGGTTGAGCTGGACAACACAATATAAGGTAAAAGAAATACATGTTTTAACTACTTCTAGTAAAAAATATATTGAATACTTCAAGTATTTTTAGTAATGCTATAAGCCTATACTAGAATTTTGATAAGAAATATTAAAACAATTTAAGCTCGGAAAAGGCAAAACTGGCATGAGAGTCAATGGAGCAGAAGCATGGAACCGATGTGTCCACATCTCTTCCTCTCTCCCTTTTATCGCACAAACACACACTCTCAGTCCCTTTTCTCCTCGGTTATTAATTATTCTTTTCTGTTTTTTTTTTAAATTCTTCTTCCTCGTTAAAATTCATGAAAACAAACAAATTATCCAAAATTTAACTGATAAAAAGAGAAAATGGGACAATATTGAAAATTGCGTGTATAGTAAAATGTCAAAACGAAAATAATAAAAGCAGTGAAATTAATAATTCTTACGCCGCGTTTGCAGTCTTAAGGACAATGATGGACTCTCTTACCTTTTTCTAGTTGTCAAAATCAGACATCAACGTTAAATATTTATATGTGTAGTTATATTAGCTAAACTGATGCACTTTATTCATTGCCAGGTTCCACAGGCATCTCTTTTTATTCAAAACGAAAAAAAATGCTTTTCTTGATTAATGACTGTAAATCACCATACAATATTCAAATTCTTATAAAACCTATATTGATTGACAAAAAAAGAAAACCTATACTTAGATCTACCTTTATGTATGTATAGAAAAAAAAGTTATTAATAATGTAAATCACCATACAATATATGTGTGTTCATCAAAATGTTTTTATAATTCTTGAAACAATGTGAAGAGCCAATAAAAAACGCTACTAACAGAGTTATTAATATATGTAAGCCTAAGCTATTGTGATATTTCAGATATAAGTATATGAAAATTTGTAGTATTTTTTTCTATTTGGTTTTATAGGTTACTAGGACTCAGGACCCCCGCGATATCGCGGGGGAATATATTCAAAAATCATTTAAAAAAATATCAGACGAAAAAATCATAATGAATTGTAATAATTTTAAATTTTTTTAATAACAAATCAATATATATTTTACAAAAATTATGATAAAAAAAAACCCTCACAAGCATTTATTAAGTATATTAATATTAGAAAAACAATAATTTGTAACTAAAAAACTATTCCCAAGTGCAAAAAGCATAAACTAATAAACCAAATATTACAATAGTTTGATAAATAAGCCAAAACGTTCATCGTCAAATAAACCAAATGCTACTGTGTTAAATTAAACGGGAACAACAATTCATTTAAATATATTTTAGTATTTAAATATTTTTTAAAAATATGACGAACTTATCTGAGAAACGCAACCGTAGATATCAAATATTCCAAAAACTGTAACGGTTCGTCAATTATACCAAATATTGCAATAGTTCATCAAATATACTAAAGATAACAATGGTTCGTAACACAAAACCAAAAGTTGCAATAATTCGTCAAATAATCGAAATGTTGAAACAGTTCAATTAAATAGTTACAATCTCATTTAAATACATTTTAGTAATTAAAAATTAAGAATTAAAATAATAATTTATGAAAAGTTACACCGAGAGACGCGGCGGCAGATAATTAAATGTTATAGCTATTTATAAAATAAACCAAAAATTGCAATTGTTCGTGAAATAAACTAAATATATAAACCAAAGGTTGCAATTTTTCGTAAAATAAACTAAATATTGCAATGATTCGAACAAGCGGTTTCAACTGTTTATGAAGAGTTACAATAAAAAACGCAACCGTAGAAAACATTCAGAATGCAACTTATATAAAAAAAAACATAACCGTAAAATATATATTTTTATTAATAAAAACATTAATGAAAAGTTGCGATAAAAAGACGCAACCGTTCAGATGTGCAAATGGTATTTATTAGATTGCTATTATATATAGATTAGGGTTTTAGATTTCTTGAGTTTTGACAACAACAAAAAAAATTCCTACTTACGTAAGAAAGTGAATAATTCATATTTACAAAATAAATTTCAAACAAAGTGTCTATTTTCATTATTTTCTCTTTAATATAAACTGTTTTTGAGGACCGATCCGGCCTAACTCTAATTCTATTTTCCGGAGACAGAAGTCCAATATGATTTTATGAAGAAAAGGAAGGTGTTGATTTCTATATAAATTGCATTGTATTTCCTAAATCTTTGAATCATTTATCACGTAAATAGAATGAATTATTTGAGAGCGCTGACTCGTGACTGAAATGAAGTATTTGAGAACGCTGACTGCTGACCGAAATTCTTATGGACTAAATGACGTATTAAGTATTGTAATTTTTGACAAAATTACTAAATATATCGGATTGAATTGGCAACTATTTACCCATCAGTCATAATGTATACTGTTTTAATTTTTATTTCTTCTAACTATATTACTATCGTTTTTTGTTCTTTCTGCGCTAAATTTTTTTGATGCTTTGTATCACTAATCCGATTGATTAGCTTTGGCAACCAGACAGAAAAAAAGAGAATCTACGGAAAGAAAGAGCATATATAGTTACATTTAAAACGAGTGCCATTAAAATTGGTGGTATTTTGTAATAAGGTGAATTAGTCATGGTCACCTAAACGGGCTTAAATTAGTATATATATTTGATAAAAACTTGGAAACATATTCTTTATTCATATTACTTTTTTATACTTGTAAAAAATAGTACATCGTTTTCAATTTTCTGCAAAAAGCAAAACCCAAAAAGCTAAAAACCCTAATAGTCTTCACTCTTCATAAACCCCAAAAACCAGAGAAGCTAACTAGCTTGAGTCTCAAAAGATCAAACAAATAATCTCTCTGGTTCTTCTTGTTCCCTTCTCTCTTTTGGTTTTTGTCTTTTTAATAATAAAAACTCATTTTGGGTTATTTTTAATTTCCTCTTTAATTTTAGTGCTTCTTGAAATGGGTGAGACAACAAAAGGAGATGCTACAAAACCATCACCGAATCAAATCTCCTCACCTAAAGATTCTTCACTCGATCACCAAGCACCAAACCCATCACTCCTCCATCATCACCACCACCACCACCAATCTTTCCTCCCTTCTCCGATCTTCATACCCACCGTTTCTTCTCCCGGAGCTCCGGTAATCCCCAAACGACCACGTTTCAACACTTCCGGTGGTCTCTCTCCACCTCAATGGAAAGCCTTGCCGTCTCCTTCCACCGTCCCAACGGCCTCCACAATCTCTTCATCACCGACACCTTCCACCGCCGTGGTAACAGCTTCTTCCACCGAAACCGCCGGATCTTCACCTCCGGGTCAAGAAGCGACCAACAGTGAAAAACAACAACAACAACCTAAAGCGGAGTCGTTTCAACATAAATTCAGAAAAGGCAAGTACGTTAGCCCCGTGTGGAAACCAAACGAGATGCTATGGCTAGCAAGAGCCTGGAGAGCCCAGTACCAAAACCAAGGAACCGGGTCCGGATCCGGATCCGGGTCGGGCGAAGGAAGAGGCAAAACCCGTGCTGAAAAAGACAAGGAAGTAGCCGAGTATCTAAACCGACACGGTATAAACCGGGACTCCAAAATCGCCGGTACGAAATGGGACAACATGCTTGGTGAGTTTAGGAAAGTGTATGAATGGGAAAAATGCGGAGATCAGGACAAATACGGTAAGAGTTACTTCAGGCTGTCTCCTTACGAGAGGAAGCAACATCGACTTCCCGCGTCTTTTGACGAAGAAGTCTATCAAGAATTGGCTCTCTTCATGGGTCCACGTGTAAGAGCTCCGACTATTAACCGCGGCGGCGGTGGCGGAGCTACCGTTACTGTTGCCTCAACGCCTCCATCTGTTGAGGCGCTTCCTCCTCCTCTTTATCCAGCATTGATGACGTCGAGAGACGAATATGATATTGAGAATAACCCAATCTCTTCCATTGGTAAATTTTTATATTTTACTTCTATAACAGTTTTTTATTTATTATTCATTGACTTGTCTTATAAAGTCCATTATTTATTTAATAGTCACATTGTGCCATACTGCGTTACTTGGACTTGTAGAATGTAGACTATGCTTGGTAGGATCGTTAGTTGGTCTTATTAATTAGAATTGAAGGAACTTGAAATTGTTTTTAAAATCATGATTTAGTAAAATCAAACTATGTACTTTGTAGGAAGAGGGAAGCGTTTGGCATTATCACTACTTGGAGATGATCATTCTCAATATCCGTATTCACACAACATTGCTAGAGGATCAGGTTTATTCTCTAATAAATCATTATACAATCCTTTTTTTGAGATGATTCCTTCTTCCTCTTCTTCGTCTTCCTCTCTGAAAGATCTTCGCCGTATTGGAAAAATACGGCTAACTTGGGAGGAATCGGTTAACTTGTGGGCTGAAGAAGGAGATGTTGATTATGGGAGAATTAGGGTTAGTGGTTCGAGTTTTTTGAATGCGGATGAGCTCACATATTTGGATGATTCCATGGTGGCTTGTAAAATGGAATCCTTCGAAGATGGACCTCTCAAGGGATTTTCTTTGGATAAATTCATTTCTGGTCAACATCTTAAAGTCTTTGGAAGACAAAGGTCAACTTCATCATCTGCTCCTTCACCTTCAGGTAACACACAGGCATTCGTTTAGTAATAAATTATGGCAACACACTTAAAGACTAGGAAATCAATGCAATGAACCTCTCTAATCAGCGAGGAATTGTTAAGAATATATGCAATAATGATTAACACTAAAAATTAAAACGAACTTAATTTATGAAAGTTTCTCATCTTATAGAGCAAGAAAATGTTTTAAAGACCTTTAGGGATAGATATATACAAAATTAAAAAGGAAGAACAATGCAACTCTCTAATCCTACTCTTTGAAAAAAAAATGTGGCAGGTTTGTAATTTTGTATGATCAATAATCCTTTGGTGATAACAAAAATTAAAGAGAGAAATCAATGTAGCTCTCTTTATAATATGTTTGTTTCATATTTTCAGTAAATGTGGCAAGTGTGTTTGATCGACCTCAGCTTCAAGTCTCTGAACCCATTTATAAATGTAATTTTTTCCGAATCTTATACTTTCAAATTTGCATTATTCCTTTATATTATTAACAAGTGAACTAATGCTACTACAGCAATATCAACATTGGAGTTCCAAGACCCATCGGAGCATTTCTTGAGTAAATTGCGTGTGCCAGCAGGAAATATTCCGAGTTTATTTGAGCTCGCACGGTATCTTCAAGAACCACCCCCGGAAAATCTCCGGTTTCCTCTCCGGCCAGACGTCTACAAAGACTTGCCGCCCGGAAAAGAGCTCTTCTTCTCCATCTCCTCCACCGAGCTACTAGATTGTAGAGCACTCACATATGATGTCATCGGCCCCATAATGTCCCGCTTAAACCCTAATACCGGTTTCGTCATCTCGAGCAAAGACTCCCTGATCCCGCTTTGGGACGACTGCGTTAACCGGATGGTTTCAAAGTTTTGTGAAATGGTGATTTTGCGTAAACCAGATTCCTCGTCTTGCATTGAAAACGTACAAGATCAGTGGCCAAACGTGCTGGGATTCGTTAAAGGATTTGGCTTATGGAGAGGAGAAGAAACTGATAAGGTACGGGAAGGGGCAGCTGATCCTTCTTGTTTATTGGTCGAGAAGATTCTTTGGTCGTACAACGATCTTCCATACATTCTTGGATATCACGCAATAGGGTTCACCGTAACATTCTGCGCTTTGAGTCTATCATCACAAGATCGAGTGATCTGCACCGATCTTTATTCATTCAACGTCTCATCACCGTCCGATCGAATCAAGGCCTTGGTTCCTTGTTACCGTCTAGCTTCCCTTTTACCTTTGCTTGCAGATCGTTGTACTACGAGGCCTTTATGCTACAACGACTTCGAGAGAATCGATCATGGAGATTATGTGATTGAAGTAACGCCTAACACGGTGACTAAGTATTACTCAAGCAAGCGAAAATGGATGGGTGTTAAAGGAATCTACGATTTTCTCGACCAAAGAGTTCCACACGCGGAGCATTTGGATAGGGCAAGCGAGAAAGATCTCTCGTTGAGTTTTAAGCCACGTGGAGTCAGAGTCAAACCACAAAACATTGACCAGCTCATCGACTCGCTGATGTGTGTGACTAAAGCGCTCGTTGCACTTCACGACCTTTCTTTCATGCATCGTGACATGGGATGGCATAATGTAATGAGAAGCATGGCGACGATAATAACAACAACTGACACGGATTGGTTTGTTTGCGGGTTTGATGCTGCGGTCGAGGCCCCACAGCTTAACCCGCACCGCCCTGTGGCCAAAGCAGTTATGGAGGAGGAAGAGGAGCGTGGGAGACACGCGCCGGAGATGGAGAGAGGATTGCATGCAGTGAAAGTGGATGTGTGGGGAGTGGGTTATATGATAAAGACATGTGGATTAAGTAATGTACCAAAGATATTGAGAGACCTTCAGGGGAAGTGTTTGGAACCGAACCAAGAGAACCGACCGACGGCAGCTGATTGCTTCCACCACCTTCTCCAGGTTCAATCTGCCAGTACATCGTCGTATTAGTCTACTTGTTTTTTCTTTAATTAAAAAAATTTGTAGTTGTTTTAAAACCACATTTTTAGTTTCACATGTGAAGAAGGTTCGAAACCGAGATCTAGAAGTGACATAGAGTGTTTGACCTTCAGGTTAGTAGTAGCTTATATTATTATATATACAGCTTTCTTTTGGTTTTGGCGTATTTTGTATGAAGAAAAAAGGGAGAAATGAATTAACCTCGAAGTATAATATTTTTAAAATTGTTGACTGATGAGAAGTGAGAAGTGAGGATTGTTTTGTCGAGAAAAATAGACATTGGGCTAAACAAAATGGCGGCTGTTTTCTATCATCTAATCTCTCTGTCAATTCACCTGCACTATTTTCTTCCCCACAAATTTTCCTGCTCTGGGTTTTATTTATCTTTCATTTTTTGAATTGTTTTATTTTATCTGTCAGATCTTTCTTTCAATACTGACTATATACCCTATCTCACATTTCACCATTTTTATTACACTTTTTAAAGTTATATTAAAATACTATAGAAGAAAAAATATGAACCTATGGGTTACATACTGTAGTATTTAATTTATTTTTGATAAAGAGTATAGTATGTAATGTTCTTTGTTTAAACTCTGTCCTTTTTTTTTTTATAACAGAAGTGTTATCTTAAGAGCATGTTTACTCATGAACCTAAATGAGTATCATTAACAGTTTTTTATTATTGTTTCATGAGTTGAAACCCAAAATGAGTATCAATAGACTCACCCCAATGATACTTTTCATCCAAATATCAACCCAAAATATATTTTTTTTATTATTATTCATGGGATGATACCCACAAAAGAATCATGAGTAAACATGCTCTAACGAACCCTTGTGTGGATTGCTTTTTCTTGCATGTTAACTAATTGGTATATTGCGTATGTAAGGCCTGTTGGGCTGTCAAGGAGATTTGATAAGCCGAATGCCAAAAGTAAATAAATACGAATCAACGAAGGAAGTTGACCCAAAAAAGCAACGAAGGAAATAGAAACAAAAAGAATAACTAATATGATTTACTCAAATGTATTTAGTGAATTTAGCTCAACTAAATATGAGTTTTTTTAAAGTAGTGTTCAAAAATGACTAAACACTAAAGAGATGATGACCTAATGCACAGTGTCTAGGTATGTTTAATCTGAATTTATGCGATTTTAAGCGGTTTATGCATTAAAAAAAAATTACTGAAATAACATGATGTATTGTACTATATATAGATAATAAAGTATGTTGTATAAGTTAAAAGAAAACCAAAATTTTTGTTTGGTATAAATATTTTTTGTTTTCGAGTTAGTTAACAAACAAAGTTTGCCCCTTTTTTGCTAGCCAATATCAGAACAAATGCTAATTTTAAGTGTCCACAATCTTTAAAATGGGATAATCATAGGAAATAATTTTTTTTTTAAGACTAGATGAACACAATGAACACAATGTATTAACTTAAACAAAATATGTTTATATAAAAAATTGCCTACGACACCTACACACAAATTTTTCATTTCCGGCAATATCCACCACCCAAAGTGTAGTTGGCACAATGGGAGTTAGCGTAGCGCCTAGACCCCCATAATCCACTTTCTTGAATACTGGTTTTTAACTAAGGTTCATCAAAATTGACCAATCTAAGAGAGTAAAAAATTGTTTTCTAACATCATTCAAAACGAAAACCAATAATACTAATTTACTTTGGTTTGAATTCAATCTTTAAGTTCTATATATATGCATATATAAAAACAGCATAACGGAGAGTGTTCCCCTTTTAAAAATGAAATTTTGTGACTAGCATAATGGTTGTACTTAAAAATAAAATAAAAAAATGGTTGTACTTTTAGATCTTAGGGAATATAATGTTTGTTTGTACAAAAAGGAGATATATAATGTTTTGACTTTTGATTTAAGAAAATGAGATAATTTTATGGTCAACTTTTAGATTTATTATATAAATTAAAATTACATTCATAGACATAGTCTAAACTACAGCCTATTAATATTCGCATAACCAAAACTATATATCCCTATGATCTAAAACTACAACGAATTGGAATCAATCGCCTATCTAATCTTCTTAAATTATATGATTAAATTTCCTTATAGAGAAAAGCAAAAGAAATTTCTTCACAAATCACAATGTCTCTTACTCCCATAACACCTAAAGAGATTATAAAATCAATCATTTTCTATAACTCTAATATTTCTTTGAACAAAACAAACAAATTAATTCGTTTTTATTGTGTAAAAAGTGTCACGCCTTACGTACCTACATAGAGTTCAGTTGATGTGTCACTCATTACAGATCTAACGATTCATGCATGAAGGGATTTAGAAACTAGTAAGACAGATGGCATCAAGCAGAGATAATATTACAAATAGATTTGAATATACGAACCAAAAGCATGAAATCTTGAAAAATAATAATTAACAATTAAGATTTATTAGGGAGGAGAAGAAGAATCAGAGAGCAATTGGACAAATGTGCATGATGCAATATCCCACACGTTGTCGTTTTGCTCTGCCTGTTCGTTTGTTTTTTTCTTAAACTACAAATAATTAAGAGGAAAAATAATAATTAAGAGTGATAAAGAGAAACAGAACAAAAGAGATACACGTGATGGTTTGGGTGTTTTGGATTTTGATTAGAGCTGTTCTTTTGTCATGTTGCTTCCCGACTTCTATTCGTCTTTATTATCAACAATTTTTTAAAAAATCTTTCTTTTATCAAATTTATGTGAGCTAAGCCTTTTTAATCATTTTTGTATCTGTATTATGTAATTTGGCCATTTACATGTTTTGTTTGTATCGTAAATTTGGACGTTAGTTAGATAGATTTGATTTCATCACAAATTTCTGTTGCATTGGTAAGTCGTAAATTATTATCGAGATGTTAGACTGTCAACAAGGTCTAATCCTTTGCTTGGGGGGCTATTTTAACAAATATATACATATTATTGCCAAACTCTCCAAACATACAGTAATTTGAAATATACAAAATATACACAAAATTATATATTTTGCACAGTAAGAAACTTAATATATTGTTTTCCTTACTTATTATGCATAGTAATTGCTGACGAAAGAAAAATATGCATGATAATTTTTTGTAGTTTCTCTATTATAGAGACTGTTTTTGATTTTTTCATAAAATATACGAAATATTGGCATTTGTTAAAAAGTTACAAACGATGAATTTATTTTCATTTTAATTATACTGGTCACTCACCAGCATGCTTCCATTCGACACCCTCTTATTAACATCTTCTTAGCTCTAGATCAAGTATTTAACCTCATGAAGTCATGTTTCCTTGACTCAAATATAATGAATATCATATTTTTAGAAAAGAAAGATAATTAAAAAAAATTTAAAATAAAATTAATAAAAAATAATTAAGACCAAAATAATTTAGTCTTCTTCCTCATTTAACACATGACTAACTCTGCACCCTATAAATCTAGCCGAAAATGTGTGTATTAGACATATTTATTTCTTTGGTTGTTAAATTTCGGTTTATCATGTGTTTTCAATTCAAAATCAATTGACAATTATTAGAATGACCCTTATCGTTTATATATTACTTGATAATTACTTCAACTACTGATGTACGGCTTTCTTTCTTTTTCTTTTTTTTCCTTTTTTGGAATGAAATTAAAATTTTATTCAAAAAAAAAATACACCTTGTTTACAATAATATATGCAACCTTAAATAGACAAGTTTGAAAGTATCGAAGAAAGATCAAGAGATTAGCTTCTAGTTGATAACCAAATGCTAAAGGCATCACTTAGCTTAGAAGAGCTGGAAAGCTTTTCTTTCATTCATTAACATGGTTTAAGATATAAATTTCTTTTGCACAAAAAAAAGATATAAATTTCTATCGGTAAAATTCAAGATGTAAATTTTACCTAAAGTAAAAAAGGGTTTATAGCATTTTGTGTTTTACACATCTTGTATCAATTATATTAATAGTGGTTTAACTCCTAAAATCGGACAAAAAATAATGTTCCTCAAAAGTTTCTAAATTTTCTGATAATTAAAAAAATGTTCAGAACAACAATAAATTAAATGAGAAATAAAATGAAATAGGAAACCCATAATCAATTATGAATTGTAAATTGTACAAACACTATATTAAAGTGTCTGCATACGTAAACATAGCGTGCCAAACAGGTAAGATTCAAAGGATGATGAGCATTATTAGGGTTTTGGTTTATATGTTTGTAAGCAAGAGAACATTCTTGGGTAGGTTTTGGTGGCCCATGTGTTTTGTTTTTTATGATGACTCTTGTTACACTACATGTCGATGTATAAGATGCACAAATTTCTGTCTTTAATCTTAAGTTGGACTCACTGGTTAATGACACTTGATGTGTACTTTGTTCTTGGATTTTTCTTACCCTCTTTGTCAATTTGCTCCAATCAAATATATTCCAAAAACATGACACGTAGATTGGACTGAAAAAAGTCCAGTCCCGTTCCCGTTCCGTCCGATTTGGTTCCACAATTTACGTTGTATGTGACAATGTGTTTCAATCAAAATCCCCTCTTGAAACGGGACGGATTCCACGGTATCTTTTAAAATAAAGTTATTAAAAATGAAAATGTTAGTTATTATATATATAAATAACTAATTGTAAAAACTAAAAACACTCTAAGTATATAAAATTATATCTTATCAATAATTTTATGTTATATTTCTGCCCCTTTCTTATTTTGATTTGAAACTCAAATACACTTGGAAAACATTATTATTTTTAGTAGCGGAAATTTTCATTTTTGTTTCCAAATTTCAAATGGAGTAACAAAGATCAAGAATTTTTTTTTGAAATTTGTTCTTTCCTTTTAACCATCCTCACACGTAGTTATTAAGGTATTCAATTTAACGAGCATTCATATGCCACATGTTAAGGCTTGGTCTAAAGCTTGGAACAATATATTACAAATGTTTAAAACTTTGAAATCCAAATTCATGCATTTCACTACGAGAACAAAGGACACAAAGTAACCAGAAAACATACAAAGGATTTAGATAGTAATGTTGTTTCTTAGATGGGATTTTTGTTGGTAATGACCCAATTTGAAAAGGAATCGAGCGTATTCACATCTGCTCTGTAATGTTTTTGAGTGAACTCAAGAAACATAGACCAAGTGAAGTCAGGGTATTTTCTTGTTGTCATCTTCTCCAAAATATCACTTGGTGGTTTCACCACTTTGTCTTTCTTCGGACACAAGAAAAACGCCATCGATTTTCTCGCGCTTTCCCTATTCACAACCGCTCTATGCAAACAACTCTTGAATATCCCGTTCGATAGAGCCTACAAAAGCACAATTGATCAATCATTTGTGTATGCGTAGCCAAAATGTGTTTACTTTCGTAGATGGTTAATAATTACCATGAAAGTGTCACCGATATTGACAACGAAAGCCTTGGGATTGGGACGAATGGATTGCCATTGATTGTCAACAAAGACTTGAAGGCCATTGACATGGTCTTGATGAAGTATGGTCAAAGAACTTGGATCACAATGAGGTCCTGTACCTAACGTGAGATCTGGTGTTTGGCATGGAGGATAATGATTGAGCCTCATTATCGAATCATTCTCTTCGAAAAATCCTCGGAAATAGTCTCGGTTTACGCCTAAACTTAACCCCAGAAGCTCCATGATCTTGAGTGATAGAGAACTCATTGCTTCACAATAGTCTTGATATACCTTCCTGTAAATAAAATGGGGAAATATTTAGCTAAACCGGTCAAATTATTTTCGGTTTATTAATTTCGGTATAATAAACCGGTTTATTTAAGTAAGACTAAAAAACAGAGAAAATTAGGTTTTGCTCTGTTTTGTGGTTCTTGTTCTGTTTTAAAAGACACGTACCCAAACTGCTCGAACTCTTGTCCTAATGTATCGGAAAAGTAATCTTGAACGGTTCTCGAGCCACTTTTCTCGTTGGAAAACTGAAAAGAGAGAGTCTCCTTCCATGGGAGCTTGGTGGAGAATCTACCGGTGAAGCTACTTGCGTAGCCACAGCTCTCACCGGGTTTTCTCTGAGCTTTCTGTTTACCTGCGAGAGGCATGTCGAAGAAACGTTCCATTAAACGATTAGCGTCGGATATGAGTGACTCGCTGACGCCATGATTGACGACGAGGAAGAAGCCGTGTTTGGTGCAAGCTTCTGCGATGACTCTAGGAGCTTCAAGAGTTGAGTTTTGGCTTGAGAGATCGATGAAAGGAACGTTGAGCTCGGGAATGTCAATGGAAGGTTTCTCTTCGTCTGGCCAAATGAACTGGTTTGGGATTTGGGATTGGAGGTTAAGAAGAGAAGGGTTAAAGATTAATGGAGTTTGGTCTTTTACAAGATCTTGTTTTGGTTCGTGTTCTTTCTCTGCCGGAGATGTTGTTGTGCATAATATCGCCATTTTTTTTTCTTTTTTCTTGAGAGTTTTTGGGTTTTTTTTTTTGTTTTGTCTTGTTCTGAGTGAGTGTTGTTGAGGAGATGGGGGAACAAAGGGTCCTTTAAGTCTTTATATAAGCAAGCTTCAAGTCTTGTTAGTGTACATTTGTTTGGTTTTTTATCTTTCTTATAATAATTTCATCTTTTTCTTTTGCCACATGGGATTTCATACTAATCTCTTTATAAGGTGAATATAATAGTGTCAAGATTACGTATATTGAACAAAAATTTTGGTTTCAATCTAAAGGACAAAAAAAACTAGACGACAATTAATCCCTAAATTAAATGCGTATTTGTTCATGTGCTTGGTATTCATGCATGTTGGATTCAATCTTGATCTTATAAAATACATTCTTATCGGAATCTTGCAATCATTTCATGTATATATTGTGATGAAAATAGTAAAAATGTGTGTAGATTGAATATAACACAAAAGTTTTAGAATGTAAGACCCTTTAAAGAAATTGTTTTTTGATCTATTACTTATTATGAATTATCTTTTGGCCAACATCTTAAAATTCTTTATTTTCCAATAAAATAAGATTTTATTATCTATAACACATTAAATTCCTTTAAGTTATGTTGATTCTATAATGTATACTAACAGATTTTGGATGATCACACATACTATATAGAATAAATTCATATTTGATCACTACAAACTTCAAAAGATAGATACATCCTCTAGAATCCATTTTGGCTTCGGTCCAACAAACAAATTGCCACGAGGATAGGGACTAATTGGGTATTAAAATCACATCAAAACATATATTGTTTTAAGCAAACAAAATTTATAAAATCAATGGATCCTTTTGTTGGTGTCTGTTTTTATAGTTGGCAGGAGGAAGAGGTTCCCGAGGTTGTGTTTTGGCTGTATTAGGAGAAGTGTTGGTTCCATTTACTTTATTTACTTTCTCGTCTTACATAGTTTGCATATTTTTAAATTCAATTTTCTTAGTTGTTTGTCGATTTTCTATTGGATCTCAAAGAAAATGAAATAGGAGAAAGCATTAGTATTTCAGTAAATAATAACTGAGTTTGGATCCAAACACAAGTAATAACTTTGGTCTGCTCTTATTACACTTTAATGGTAAGATATGGGGTCGATTTTGCAAACCCCACAACATGCAGGATCTTTTGTAATTATGCCCAAATCATTCATGGTTGGTTCGACCAATTAAGACTTTGAAAATTCGTAGATTCGTCGATATAATTACACTTTATCATTACTCGCATGTATGTTTGTAACTAATTCCTAACATTCTCTTCAAATTGAAAATTTGTTAGGGTAAAACAAACACCTTATGATAAAATACACCTAGTGTTTTTTTTTTTCTTTCTTTCTTTCTTCAAGTTTTTTTTTGTATTTTTATTTTATTTTTTTGCAATTTTTTTCTTCAATTTATGATACAAATAGTCAAGAACGTCTTTTAAGCTTTTTTCATATTAGTTACCTTCGACAAAATTATTGATCTTATCGGGCACCAATGATATGAAAAAATTGAAACTATCTTCTTTTTGTTTTTGAATTCTTTACTATTACTATTTAATGGATGAACTTAGAAGTTAAAAACATATATATATATATATATATATATATATATATATATATTTAAACTAGATCGAATCCGATCCGAAAATCGATCTGAATTTAGAACTTAGGTGTATTATTCACATTCTTGACTAATTAAAACTTTGAAAAATTCGTAGATTCGTCGATATTCTTACACTTTATCATTACTCGCATTTATGTTTGTAACTAATTCCTAACATTGTCTTCAAATTGAAAATTTATTAGGGTAAAACAAACACCTTATGATAATACACCTAGAGTTTTTTTTTTCTTTCTTCATTTTGTTTAGCAAATTCTTTCTTCAATTTATGATACAAATAGTCAAGAATGCCTTTTAACTTTTTTCATATTATTTATCTTCGACGAAATTACTGACCAATGATATGATTTTTTTTTGAAACTATCTATTTTTGGTTTTTGAAATCTTTACTATTACAATTTCATGGATGAACTTACAAGTTAAAAACATATTTATTTTTAAAAAACTAAATCGAATCCAAACCGAAAATCGTTCTGAGTTGAGGAAGTGTGTTTATTTGCTATATTTTCTCAATATTAAAACCCTCCTAGAGTGGTGAGAAAGGCAGGATAAGTAAACTATTTTCTTCCCACGTGTGTTTATTTGTCCCAAACTCGTAACTAATAGGACATGAAAGGACAAAGAGGAGAACAAGTGTTTGGTTAAGAGAGGTAGGGCCAACAGCTACAAAGGCCCCAAACAGAAGAGAGGAGAGGAGAAGAAGTGTTTGGTGATCAAGAGAGTTTTCTTTGCTTTCAACTGTTCTCGGAATCCAAATAGCCCAAGATTCAATGCTCCCCATTGCCCATTGGCCACTTCCCTCTTCCTCTCACTCTTTTCTCGTAAAGCATTCCTCAAAATATGAATCATGATATGGAAATTTAGTAAATAAAAATGTCTATATTTCCTTCTAAAATGTTTCGATGCTTAGAGAGTGTAATACATCTACTTGACCAATTAGGAATTTACTTTGTTATTGAAAATCAGAAAGTTTGTTTAAGGTGTTGAACGAAAAAAATAGCTTGTTTAAGGAATTTGGACTAGACGACGATCAAGATCAAAACAAATTTGAGTTGATCCATTATGATGTCACATTTCTTCTTCAACTAAGGGTATACGCCATTTTTCATGTTTGAAATTATCGTTGTTCTTAATTAATTAGGCCCGAATCCATTGCCTTTTACCCAATTAGCTCATTAAATTATTACTATTTCATCACAAATATACAATATTAAATTTAACAACTACAAATGGAAATTTTGGTTAGTTTTCATATATTTTTATTGTTAAACACATGTTTTAATCCAAATCAATTTACCGTAAGTGTACAGTAGTAACAATAAAAGTATTACTTTGAGATCGAATCCATAGAGAACAAGACAATACAAAAATAACTTATTAATATTTAAAAGTTTTAATCATGTCATTGTGGTTTTTTTGTAAGATTAATAAAACCTCGGAAAATACATGTGAAGAATTAAAATATAATAAAGAAGTGGATAAAAAAAAAATCAAAATAAAGATGTATTCGAGACTATAGATGCCAATCCAAAAAATCCAAAATATTTTTGATTAGAAATCGATCAGACTTTTATCTATACCATCTAATGTTTGTGTGTTCAACTGATTTAACATTTGGACTAAGAACCTAATTTTTGACCAATGGTAATCTCGGTTGAGTTAGTAGGGTTTGATTAGTATGTCAGAATAACACATGAATATCAGAAGAGCTGAATTACGAAATAGCGGATTCAATAGGACGATAACAATTATAAGCTAAACATAAATGACTTTTTCTTAAAACGCCAAAAATCTACTATTTAGTAGATGAATGAACTTTCTCAAATGTAGTTATAATTTTTAAACGTGTGGGATGAATTAACAAATTACTTGTTATTTTTTACGTTTTATAATTCAATACCTGTTTTTGTGAATGGTATGTATTTGGCAGAATCACGTTTTCAAAACGTGAAAAAGTTGCATACCATTCAAGTCCATGTTTGTAACATGCATATAAATTTGAAAATAACTTAAAAATAAAATAAAAGAAAATGACAACAAAAAATGAGATATATGGAATTTTTTTTGGTCCAAACAGATATATATAGATATATATATATATATATATATATATATATATATATATAGATATAAAGAAGTTTTAGTATAAAGTAACATACACAAGATATTTGTTGGTTGAATCTCAAAATAGAAAGTCCAGTCACAACATCCATGGCACATGGTTTTGTCCAACCAATTAATGTATCGAAAACTAAATATTACTACATCCATTTTATTATAAACATGTTTGTAATTTATTACTCACTCCGTTAATAAATTAATGTCATTTAAGATTTTAACATGTATATTTAAGAAAATAAATAAATTTTCTGTTTTATTTTTATTAATTTACTTTACAAATTTTATTTTTGGTCAATACAGTAAGTTAATGAGAATAAAACTGTAACTTTTATCAAAAATTTGTATTAAAATTAAAAAACGACACTTATTATAAAACAAAATTTAGGTTCTAAAACAGCTTTTATTTTGAAACGGAAAAGTACTGTTCACAAGTTATAATTTTGACACAGCCACTAATTTCTTTTGATAATGAAAAATTAGTTCCCATAAGTAGTGAAATGATGAATTTCTTTCTCATATCTAAAGAAAATCTTCAAGTAACTGTAGAATGTGGACAGTGATAAGTGATAACGATTCAACCACCAATAATGTCAACTCCATAGTGCGACAATAAGACAAGATGCACGTTGGTTACAAAGGTTGTAGTGGTATTTGTATTAATTCGTTATCTCTTGAACACCTCTGCAACAAGGTCACTTTCTCATTCTAGAGCCATCACTACTAAAACTGTTTGATCTTTGTACTGTATATAGAGATACGAAGAAATGTTTGCAATTTACTGTATCTGGAATAGTATAATTAAGCGCATAAACCCGAAATATCATTGCAAAAAAAATCATTGACTAAAAAAAGAAAATAGAGTCAAAACTCATAAGTTTAATTGGCTTGTTTTCAGCCATAAAATGACAATCACAGGATATGAATAGTGGCAAGTAAAGCCATCAAAATACAAGTGTCAATACCTCAATTGATAAAGTATCTCAGACAAAACATAAAGGTCGATGGTTCGAATTGCACTTGGGTGGAAACCATATAAAATTTTCCGATCTCCAACCTGAAAGGATGTACATCTTAGATTTAGAACTTTTTAGTTATTAAAAAAAAAAGCAGAATAGCCTATCGAAAAAAGAAAGAAGACGATTAAGTAACAATTTTCGCTACACCGTTAAAAGATTCAAATCATAGTGTTGAATAATATGTTCTCCGATATTTATTAGTCGTGACAAATAAAGATGTCCAAAGTTTGTTGGGTCCATCGATTTTATTTGAGAAGACCAAACTTAAGAAAAGTCGTACTAATAAATATCTGAAAAC